CAACCACGCCTGAAATCTCGATTATCACTTTATCATGCGAGAGTATAAAATGTTCGGTGACACCCGAACTTAGCCCTTCCTTACTTGTTTTACTTATTATTGTATTTTTTTAAATACTTCACGAAGTGTCCTTATTTTTTTCACATTCTAATATCGTGATTTTGAAAACAAATGTAAATAAAATACAAAACGTAGCAAAATATGGGTTAAAATAAAAAACAACTTATTTTTAATTTGTTCTCAATAAATRTGATTAGTTAATTGCGTTGATTTCCCCACATTTCTGAATTTCCATTTACTTCATTAACTGCAGGCCACTCTCCATATTATTTTTAACATACCTGTATATATTTATAAGATGTACAMGATTAGAAAGCGCAAATAGGAAGCTTGTTAGTTATGTGTTTTTGTGGGAGGAAACATTTCCTTGAAACATGAAGATTATTTTATTAAATCTTCTTCTTAATTGGCGTAGACACCGCTTACGCGATCATAGCCGAATTAACAACAGCCGTTTCTTCTTTTCGCTTTGTGGCGCCAATTGGATATTCCAAGCATAACCAGGTCCTTCTCCACCTGGTCCTTCCAAMGGAGTGGAGGGCTTGCTCTGCTTCTCCCGGAAGCTATATACTATATTTATTAAATATAGTAGTCTTAATACAGTTCAATATCATGGTGGAAAAATTTCAAATGGACKTTCTAAGTCGTAGACGTGTGGGTGACATACTTTATTGTAATAGTTCATGTATTGATTAGAATGTATAGAGAATTTTCACAAAACAAAACGTCGAAGTTTTGGGACTGTGACTTCAACGACATAATTGGTGTGCAGCAACGCCAGGCCGATCAATGTATCTTGAAACGAAGTCTCGAAAAAGAGTGTTCAGAGCTCGCATTCATCACAGGAAATGTGCAGTAATTAGAATATAGTTCATCTTTCAGTTCTGCCGCCATTTCTTTCGTGCCTGAGTAAATTAATCGAAAATGTTTATAAGCTTTTTGTATTCGATTTCGGAACATTATCAGACACGTATCTATCATATTTAATGCATTTGCCAGATTGATCGATTCTTTTCGAAGAAYCACGCTGAGTGAATGAGTTAGAGATAGAATATCACGAAGGCAAAAAATCTCAATTATAAATTAAAATTAGCACAGGGYTGCGATGAGTATCGTTGCTTTTCTTGTTACTTTACATTAAAGTAAAATTATAATAAGCCTCTCATTTCCCTAGTGTAGAAATTGTAATTCTTAAACAATAAAGTTGGCTGCAGTTAGCGAAAAAAGTGTAATTTTTATGATAAATATCTTGTCGCGCGATAATTAGTGATTGTACCAATGGATTAATAAGTTAATTCGTTTTATAAGTTTTAACGTAAAGTATTTACGTACGCCAGTATATCGTTTATATTAATGTARGTGAAAAATTCATTTGAAATATATAGTAAAAGTTATATATTCTACGAATGTATAAAAGTAATACAATTTTTTAATTATTTATAAATGTATATATTTTACAAAAAATGTTCGTTCATTTCCTAATCAATATTACCAATATTTATATTTCAGACCAGCYACTTTTAATATGACAGGGACACGTGAGTATTTTTCCAGTTGTTAATTTAGGTTAATTATTTATATAATAAAATAAAATAAAGATGATGTAATCTTTCCARTATGTTGTCGTGACAAAACAAGATTATTTTTACACTATTATTATCACAGAATTAACAAGATTTTTATAAGGAGGGTTTGAAATTAAAATCCGCAGCRGGAATAATATAGATTTTTAGTCTTTTGTTTAAAATATAGGACATGAAATCAATTATAATAGCCGTGTTTTATTTGATCATCATAAGCTAGTAGSTAAATCATGGACAAATGAAACGCATTTAGCTTATTTCATATTTTCGCTTAAAAACGAAGTGTGTTGGCAATGCGGGCGGGAATAGTCAGCCGATATTCAATYTGTTTCAAAATGTCTGAAGTGGAGAAAAGGTTAGTTTGAATTCTTCAATTTGTAAATCTGATATTAAATTRCTGTATAAATATATTAATTGTGTTTATTTGATGATATTAACACAAAAAAGTTATAACAAATGTTCATATTTCTATTAATTTTAACTTAAACAAACCATAAAATTTTGCARTTTTGGGTTGTTTACATTTTCATTTGTCTAAATGAATTTTAGTGTTATTTATATTATTAATACTTTTTTTTGGAAAAATCATAGCTATTGTGAATGAAAAAAGCGATGAACTGGCAATGCCTCTAGTTCAATATGCAAGCTATGATAGCTTATGACAAGCCAACATAATTATGTTTGCTAAGTCTTCCATACAAAATAGGTGTTTTATTTGACCATCATAAGCTAATAGCTAAATCATGGACAAATAAAACGCACTTAGATTTTTCATATATTCGCTTAAAGATTAATTGTTTTGGCAATACGGACAAATAAGCTGATATACAGTTTAGTTTGAAATCTCAAATTTGTAAACGGAATATTACTATATATACTATTMTATTTATTTGAAGTTTAGAATATAAAACACTGAAAACCAGTGTTCATATTTGTCTTAATTTTAACTCAATACTGATCCACAAAATCTGTAATTTTCGTTTGTTTACATATTAATCTGTSAAAATGAGGTTTCTCGTTATTGCCAACTACTTTTGTTTGGAAAAAACCTAGCTATTGTGAATGAAAAAAAGCCTCTAGTTCAATATGAAAGCTGTGATAGCCTATGATAAGCCAACAATATTATGTTGGCTATTAGCTTAAATTGTTGGTCAAATAAAACACGCCTAAAATAAGCTAACAGCTTAATTTGCTGGTCAAATAAAACACTCCTAATAGTTCAGAAGCGTAGCACAATTGTGCATGCGTCAGAATACAATTTAGATAAATGGTGCCCGTTTGTTTGAAAATCTGGTTAGCGCGATTCGCTACTCTCCAACGCTGTGCTAATCGAGGATAGCAACAATTTAAAATTACCAAGATGGCGAAATCAGTCGGGTTCCGGCTATCCGTTTTYCATTCAAGCTAAAGGTTGGTATCCAGCTCTCAAGTAATTGCTCAAGAAAAAAAAAATACATTATTTTTTCAAGTAATTTTGACGGCTGGTTACGCATTGTGAATGATCCACAATAGAAGAGCAAGGGAGAATGAACCAAAGAAAATAAACTTTGTACGTAATATGTATGTGTGTTGTAAAATAAATTTTTTCATTGCGATTTAAGGAATGTTGTTGATGATTGGTAAGTTTTATACAGCATTTCCAAAAGAAATATAGTATTTCATAATAATGAATTTAACTAATTTACGATGAATTTAACGATTTGAATTTCCTTCAAGGAACAATTGTTGATTTGCCGTTTTTTCGCAAAATCAGGTTTGCCAAATTCGCATTTTATTGAGAAAATTTATTAAAAAKTAGTACTAGATTTCTTTAGAGCTGCATACTAGCACAAGAAAATTTATCGCAGGAAAGTTACTTGACCGTTTCTTAAGCATCTTTTTATATGAAGTTTTCACATTTCTTGAGAGCTGTGTACTAAGCTTTAGGAGGAAGTAGCTACAATAAATACATACATACATAAAACGTATACACACTAYTAAAAATATATACATACATATGTATGTACATAATATATGTTGCAAATATTATGCACATAGTTTTATCACTTTACACATTTACTACATTCGTAATTGCTGTGACTTGTTATTGCTGCGTACATCTATATCTCGTATAAAAACGTTACCCATATCCCGGTATTGGCGAAAAACACGGGTTAGTGAGAAGCCTCTATAAGCGAGAATGAGATTGTGCTCCCTTGAACTCTCGCTTATCCAGGTTTGGATGTAATTGACGGTAGAAATGTCATTACAGATATAGATGTTATCCACAGCAACCACCCATCAAAATTGTGTGAGTGTAATACATTTTAAACAAGTAAGG